TGTGTTCACGGTGTGTGTGTGTTCACTGCTGTGTGTGTGCACTTTGGATGGGTTAAAATGCAGAGCACTAATTCCAAGTATGGGTCACCATACTTGGCCACATGTCACGTCACTTTCACTTTTTTTTTTTTCTATTCTCTATTCAAACCTAAAATGTAATTGAATTAGTCATTGGCTGGAAACCCAGCTGCCAGTGTAGGCTACTATGTTTTATGAACTATTATAATAACAATAAATGATGCATAATAACAAGTAACCCTACATTCTTAAAAATAAAGGTAAAAGGGGGTTTTCACAGCGATGCCATCGAAGTTTTGGTTCCCCAAAGAACCTTTCGGTGAACAGTTCTTAAAAGAACCATTTTTTTTTCTTAGTGTGAAGAACATTTTAATAATCTAAAGAACCTTTTTGCACTATAAAGAACCTTTTGTGGAATTAAAAGGTTCCATGGATGGTAAAGGTTCTTTGTGGAACCATTGATGTCAATAAAGAACGTTTATTTTTAAGAGTGTACGCCAAATCCTAATCCTAAATAAGTGCATGTAGTTAATTAATATTACTCAGTACATAAATGTATAATTACACTGTAACAAGGACACCTTAAAATAAAGTGTTACTGAAAATGAAAATGTGCATTAAAGAGTGCTTTTTGACCCAATTAAGTAAGAATTCAGTTCATATTTATATGAAATGTCATTGTTAATTCTACTTCTTTAATCTGTGGTGTGCTGCTCAGACAAAAATATACTTTAATGTCATTTATTTTGAAACTTGTATGTCATATATTAAATATATTTGTTATTGCAATTGTTGCAATTTAGTACATTTAGAATCTATATAAAATAACACTTATAATACAGTATTTTACAAACAGAACTAAAGATTATTAGAACATACAGTACTTTAAAGTAAACAAATTATTTGGCATTATTAAAAGCATTGTAAACTGAAATAAACTTTAATGCAATGTCTATTGAAACTTGTATGTATGTCATGTATTTAAATATATTTGTATTTACACATTTATAATGATGAAGTTGCAAATTAACATTTACATTAATATATTAACTTTAAATGTAATATCACACTATAGTAAAAATTACAATTATCAATTTTACATGGGTTTTAGTATATGGTGAACACATCAACATACTGTATGTGTACCACTTTAAAGCATGACAAAATATTATTAGTACATAAGAATTTAAAAAGTACTGTATTTTAAAGTAAAAAAAATGGTCCAATTTGCCTTTAATATAAAGTGTACATTTTAAAAGTGTGTTAAGAAACATAGCCATGAAAGTTCACTCTCTTTAAGTACACTTTAGTGGTTTTAATTATATTAGCTGCAAGTAAGTAAACTACAAGTAAACATTCAATGCAATTAAGCATTTTTTTTTCACAAGGGTATCCATATATGAATTTCCTTAAATGATTCAAATGTATTGCTAAATGTATCTTTGGGGTGTTAATTGTAAAAGGCTTAAAAGTTCCAAAGCTGATGATGTAATATGAAGGATCATGCAGAGCGCAATTCAACTCCTTTAAGAGGAACATACAAGTATTTGCTTTGTCTAAGTAAGACACCAAACTCAGGGCAGCAGAGAGAAAATGGCGCAAATCAAAAGATCCTTCAGACCTGAGTATGTATGAGTCTTTGCTTTCATCTTTCTCTGCTGAAGTCCATACTGCCAAATCTTCATATTTCCACAACAAGATCAACAGGGCTCCAGACACACGTAATCTATTCAAAACATTTAATTCTCTCCTCTGTCCCCTTCCACCTCCCACCACTTCTATAACAGCTGATGATTTCGCCACATTCTTCACAGACAAAACTAGAACAATCAGTAGTCAATTCTAAGCCCCACACACACAGGACCTCAAACCAAACACACATACTGCTAAAACTCCCATCTTCTCCTTCTGTCCCCTCACTGAGGCAGAAGTATCAAAACTTCTCCTCTCCAGCCATCCTACAACATGCCCTCTAGACCCAATCCCCTCACACCTTCTCCAAGCAATCTCTCCTACACTCTTACCAGCACTCACACATATCATTCAACACATCTCTCCTCACAGGCACCTTCCCCACTGCATTCAAGCAGGCTCGGATAACCCCACTGCTCAAAAAACCTACATTAAACACCTCTCTTATAGACAGCTAGACCTGTCTCTCTCATTCCATTCATAGCGAAAACCCTCGAACGAGTTGTTTTCAACCAGGTATCATTATTT